TATAGTGTTCAATTTACAACCTAGAGTGTTGTCAAAGAGTCTCCACCTCCACATATCTGCCCCATTTTAATATGCGCACAAAACGTCATGAGGATCAGAAGAGCCATCCCAGATTTACCCACCATCATGAGAAAGACTCTGAACAAACAGGACCTTACAGCTTTTTCGTGTTTTATATTGAACCTTTGCTGGCCTGGTTCTGACTGGTCTTATAATATATTGCTTTTGAGTCAGATGAAAAACTCTTGGAAATATTCAGGGCATGTTTCTAGAGTGGTGTGTATTTTAATGGTGTTGGGGTATGTTTGACTGCCAGTCCTGCCCCTGGATGATTAATATATGTGAAAAGGTGTTAGGATAGTTGTGATACCCTTTTCTGTCCAGTTCCTGGTACCATCCACTCTCCTGTAGGCCAATGGTGCTGGATGTATATTTGACAGAGTACTGTTTTTGACTTAGATTATTTTTTTAATCCACCACGATTGTGATGAATAAGGCAAGAGAACAAAAACCACAGAAATGGCTCTTGCATGCTAGCCAGGGACCAGGTGGGATGGTTTAGCCTCTATGGCTTAGGTAGAGAATGTATTGGCTGGGAGGGAAATGCTAGAAAACCAATCCTTTTGTTTTTTTTCTAAGCCTGGGCTCTTCAGGAAGATAATTTGGACCTTATGTACCAAAACAATTGAGATTTCTTTGGGGATGCACATGCATAAGAACAACCACACTGCTCAAACCAATTAGCATACAGCAACTCAGAAAAACAAATAATGAAATGTGGTAGACTAATGTCAGTGCCATACCATCCTCGATCGTGGTGGGTTTCTAAAACTTAAGCTTAATGAAAATCTTAATATTAAATGAGCAAAGTGATTTGATTTGTTCTATCGCAAGTTGTGGTCTAAAAGCAATGAGGCCACCACCCATTATATGTGCTTTAGCAGAAATACACTCCTTCCGTCATTAAGACAACTTTCACCTTTTTCAGCCCTGCTAAATAATTATGTTACGCAGTTTAACTTCATAATCTGTGTTTGGTGACTGGTGCCATACATTTCACGCACTTTTATACCACAGATGGTTCTCAGCACAGTTCTTTGGTTATTAAGAGCTGAACTAAAATGCAATTTACATAAAAGAGAAAAGGCTATGTTGGTCTGAGCCTTTCTTATTATGGTGGGTTAGTAAAACACAGGCGCTGAATGCCCAAATGAGTTCAAATGAGAGTACATTAAAATGGGGCAGATATGGGCCACCCTTTTTGTACTTGTGTGCCACCCTTATGGGCTTGCAATCTGGGAAGAGGTGGAGACTCATTGACTTAACACTCTAGGTTGTATTTAAACTCATATTGAAATAGCCATTTGGCTGAACAGCATCCAGACCCATTAGAATCTTATAGACCCGGATCATGTCCCCCCTTAGTCTCCTTTGCTCAAGGCTAAACAGATTCAGCTCAGCTAACCTGTCCTCATAAGACATTCCTCTAAGACCAGGAATCATTCTCGTAGCCCTCCGTTGCACCTTTTCTAAGGCAGCAATGTCCTTCTTAAGGTATGGTGACCAAACCTGCACACAATATTCTAGCTGGGGTCTTACCAAGGAATTATATAAATGTAACATCACCTCCCTTGACTTAAACTCCACACACCTAGAGATATAACCCAACATTCTTTTTTATTGCTTCCCCACACTTTGCGA